ATTGTTTTCTCCTATAGCCCCGCTTTGTTCTGTTTCTTTTTTAACCGCTTCGGAAGCCACACAATCCCTCCATCTTGCCACATCATCGTGGCCAATATTTATCTTCTCTTGCCTCCCACTATGAATCCTATTGTCTATGGAGTTAAAACCAAGCAGATACGTGATTGTATCATAAGAATGCTTTCTGGTTCTAAGGATATAAAATCACGTAGTACATGACAAGAATAATTTCCAGGGAAGAAATGGAAAAGAAAAGGTAATATTTCTATTGCCTATCTTATAAGAGTCTAAGGATGCCTTTTTTTTTTTTAAGTTTTAATGATTTGCCACTAGTCTCCATAACCATGCAATGTTGGGAGGACCACTGCACAGCTCCTTATGTGTACATGGCTTGCTCACCCACCAATTTTTGCTTGGAATGTAATTTGGTGGAGCCACTATAGAAAGTGTCATGAAGATTCCTCAAAAAAAAAAAATTGAAATACCATATGATCCAGCAACACTACTGTTAGGTATTTACTACCTACAGAATAAAAAATACTAATATGAAAAGATTTATGTACTCCTAAGTTCATAGCACATTATTCATAATAGCCAAGTAGTGATGCCTTTTCAAGAGACTCATTTTGCTCAGCACAATGGAAGGTGTTGAACGGGGCATTCAGTGTCTTCAGATTCCCCAAATCATGGACATGCCCCTGCCCCAAATCTCTCTGTGAATTTTCTTCTATCCTCCTCATCCCTGTGGACTAAGTCTCATCATTAATGCAAGTTTCCAGAATAAATAATAATAATCAGAAACTGAGTAAATCATAAAAAAAAGAACAAACCAGAAAGAAATTATCTGTTGTCACATTTTCACTTGTTTGTTTTTTTATTCCAAATAGTGATTGAAATTTTCAGTCTGAAAGACAATTGTTACTTTTCTCTGGAAAATATGGCTATATTACCAAAATTTCTCTAATTTCTCAGTATCATTTTCTTTGTGGAGAAGCTAGTGAATACCCCATGAGGTCATTAATCTAATTAGGTTTCAGTCTCAGGATTGTAATTTGCATATAGGTTAGTCATCTGGCCATGTTTCCTTTAGAGAACTGCTTACATGGTCAAGGGAAATTGTATAAACAGTCAATGGATAAAAGAAGAAAACTTGGTGGGCCTCCCCTGCTGGCGCAGGTGGTTGAGCACAGCGCTGTGAAGCTGTCCGCAGGCTCTGCAGGGCGGGTTTGATCCTGGCTGGCGGGCGAGGGTCCCACATGGCACGGCAGACCTCTCCTGTCTTGCCCACTGCTCCCCTCGGCAGTGTATTTTGTCAGTCTGCCTGTTCTGTTCTCCGCTCTGTCTCTGGTGAGTCCTCTCACCCTCCCACGAATCTGGCCTGTACCCCAGTTCTTGTATTAATAAATAAATAAATCTTAAAAAAGAAAAAGAAGAAGAAAGCTTGGGATCTAGAAAGAAGAGAAATAGTAAGCAATAAGAAGTGGATAAAGAAAAGGAAGTTTTCTTCTCATTTTCAATTTTCTAAGTCATGTTTTACTATTGAAGGAGCATAAGTATAACTGCTGATATGGCTCCAATGTATGTTGAAAGATTTAAGAGAACTGCAAATGAGATAGAATGAAAAGATATATCAGAGGATACAGTTTTCATACATCACTCGCACTGGAAAATTAATGATTTCAGGAGACCTCAATAAGTTATGGATATAAATATGAGATATAGCACAACTCCTGAAGAATCTGTGCAAAGAAATACACTGTAAAAACACTATAAATAGATCAAAATGAATCAAAGAGCAAGTCTTAAAGGAAATAAAAGATACACTGACTGAATAAAAATAAATACATGAAAAATTCTGGAACACACTAAAGTATTGTTGAAAGAGTACTTTAGAGAATTGACTACATATATTAGAAAAGAAAGAAAGTCTCCAAGCAATAATCTAAACTCCTACCTAAGAAATCTTGGGAAAAATGAGAAAATAAACACAAAGCTAGTAAAAGAAGGACAAAATAAAGAATAGGGCAGAAATCAATGAAATTGAGAATGGAAAACTAAAGAGAAAACCTTAAAGCTTAGAGCGTGTTATTTCAAAAAATTATTAGAACCTCTAGCAATAGCAACAAGGAAAAAAGAGTAAAAACAAATTAATGATACTGGGAATGAAATGGAATGTCATATTGGACTATGAAGACATGAAAAAATAATAAAAGAATACTATGGAAGACTCGAACCAAAAACATTTGATAACTAAGATGCAGTGAACCAATTCCTCAGAAAATAAAAACTACCACAAATTACTCAAGGGAGAGATATAATCTGAATAGTCTTAAAAGGGAATTTTTACTTAAAAATGCACTCTTCACAGTAAGGTAGTTTCATTGGAAAAGTCTATTAAGCATTAAAAAAAAGAATAACATAAAAATTACCATATTAACTACTTTTTAAAAAAGATTTATTTATTTATTTATACAAGCGCTGGGTATAGTCAGAAGGGCGGGAGGGTGAGAGAATTCACCAGAGCCAGAGCGGGGAGCAGAGCAGGCAGAAGGACTGAAGTACACTGCTGAGGGGAGCAGCGGGCGGCAGGAGAGGTCTGCACGCCATGTGGGACCCTCCTCTGGTGACTGGGGAGCAGCTGGGGATCGAACCGGCGCCGCAGAGGCTTTGGGCAGCTTCGCAACCTAGCGCTCAACCGCTGCGCCACCCGGGAGGCCCCATATTAACTTTTTAAGTATGCGGTATAATAGTTAATTATATTCACACTGGTGTGGAACAGTTTTAGAACTTTTCATCTTGCAACTGACACTCTAGATCCACTGAAAGACTTCCCTTTGCTTCCTATCCCCATCCCTGGAAAACACCAAATAATTTTTGGATTTAATTTTCTTAATTTGTTTTTTTATTCTCATGTTGTCAGAGATCTGTGAACTAAAGGGATATAGTTAAATCAGAGAACTAAAGCATAGATCAGAGAACTATGGAGTCTAAGTGGGCCTTGCATCGAACCATTTGGCCTATGCCTGAATTTTGTCTAATAGTGCTTTAGCAACAGGTTTAGTTAATATACTAAATTTGGCTGTTTCACTGGGTTGACACTGCTGGTTATGAACATTCCTGGCTATGCTTATGATCAGTTTCATGTTTTATTTTGTGCTGTGTATTTAAGTTTCTTCCTAGGTGTTTCATTCTTTTTGATGTGGTTGAAAATGATATCACTAATCATATGATTTAAATGTACTTATTGTATAATGTCAGTTGAGAATTGCAGAATTTATGTTTTAATATGGTATTGTCCAAACTTTTCAAAAACATATAGAAAATATATGTGAAGTATATGTAGTTGTTTAACCCTTTTTTATTTAAAGGTTCAATTTATCATTTTCAAAGCTCATTTTTATTTTTAAATTACTAAAAATATGTAGACATCATGTTTATTATATAATAAAGGAATATAAAACTAAACTCACTAATTGTGCTTGTTTGTTTTTTACTATTACTATTGTTATTATCACCACTATAATTAGCTCAAAATTTGGGGTCCCAGATATTCCTAACTCAATATATATACAAAATAAACTTGAAATTCTACAATGTCAATATATTCATCATTCTCACATGAAAAACTAAATAACCAAATAAAGGAACATATGGATGAATATTTTTGAGAGTGATTGAAACATTATGAGTCTTTATAAGTACTTTTAACTTGTCTCTTCAGAAACTGACAGAAAGAAACCAAACTCTTCAATAAAGAGTCCTAACTGCTAATATTTATTAAATATTGTGGTGCTCACTCTTGTCTCTGTATATACTTGCTTGCATGCAAAGACGCAGACATAGATACATTTATATGAAATGATTCTCTTAAATATGTCTTTACAGGTGGTAAGAATGAGCTCTCACTCATTTTCCTCCTCCATAGGGACTAAGTTGATTACACACCCACATCTGTGTCTGCAATGTTGTGCAATATTCCCTTGGGATACATAAGGCACACTTTTTATTAAAGATCTCTCTTCAGTAGTACAAATATCGACGGATTTAGAGACTGGACGCTATGTAAGTGTATGCATAAGTGTATGTTTCATATAGTCGACTTGTGATTTTTTGGACCAAAATCCAGAATATCTGGACCCCATTATATGCAGTTCACTGTTTTGTATCAAGAAACTAAGGTATTAAAGATATAAAAAGTGGGACTAGCGACAGGGTTTTCATTGTTAGTATTAGTAGTAAGCTAAATTGGAGTGAGCTAAATTTTTCTATTTTATGATAAAAGATGTTTTTTCTTATAGAAACTTAAGTTTTATTTTGATTTATAAAATAGGTATAGTTTTGTTTCTTCTGGTAGTTCCTTTATGCTTTACAAAAAAATGATATTTGGAATATAGTGTAACAATCCTTGAAACCTATTATTAAACTGATTCACTTATTCATTAATTTCATACTGAGTTCATCCACTCAGTAACATCTATTAATAGCTAATAAATGGATGATGTCTTCCTACACACTGCAAATACACATATAAATAAACCCAAATATTAAATATTTGGTTAAGCTATGCTTTATTCGATAATATAAATAGGTTTTTATAACATGATGCTATATTGAAAAAAGGCCCATCTTTACCAACAAAGATTGTCACTTTTCCAATTACACCATATTAAGAAAATTTCAAGTAAGGCTCTTTATCCTCTCTAACAAGAATTGGATTGTTCCTGAAGAAGTTGATAATTGAAGTAAGTATGGGAAGGCACAAAATAGAATAGAGAATTTGACTTGCCTTATAGAGTTTTCGTGAGGATGAACTGAGTTAACACATAGTATGTGCCCCCACAGTTCAAGCTTCCTTAGAAATATCTGATTAATGTTAGTGGAGAGATGAAACTAATGAAGAATCTCCCTCTTTAAACATGGACCAGGTTCACATATTTTTAAACTATGTCAGAGAGATTGTCAAGAATTATACACTTGAATATTTTTCTTTTTATTAAAGGATGTTCCAGGATCTTAGAGATTCCAACAGCTCTAATTTCCAGTTTTCTGAATTCATTCTGATGGGATTTCCAGGCATTCACAGCTGGCAGCACTGGCTCTCCCTGCCCCTGGCTCTGCTCTACCTCTTAGCTCTCAGTGCCAACATCCTTATCCTGATTATCATCAGTCAAGAAGCAGCACTGCACCAGCCTATGTACCATTTCCTAGCCATCCTGGCCGTGGTAGACATGGGCCTGGCTACCACCATCATGCCCAAGATCTTGGCCATTTTATGGTTCAATGCTAAGGCCATCAGTCTCCCGGAGTGCTTTGCTCAGATATATGTCATACATTGTTTTGTGGGCATGGAGTCAGGTATCTTTGTCTGCATGGCTATAGATAGATATGTAGCCATTTGTAGACCACTACACTATCCATCTATAATAACCGTATCTTTCGTGGTCAAAGCAGCCACGCTCATGACAATCAGGAATAGTTTGTTTACCATTCCGGTGCCTGTGTTGGCTGCTCAGAGACATTACTGCTTCCAGAACCAAATTGAGCACTGTCTATGCTCTAATCTTGGAGTCACTAGCCTATCTTGTGATGACAGGAAAATCAACAGCATCTACCAGATACTTCTGGCCTGGACAATCATGGGAAGTGACCTCGGTTTGATAATTTTATCATATGCTTTGATACTTCACTCTGTGCTGAAGCTGAAGTCAACAGAAGCAGCATCCAAGGCCCTTAGTACCTGTACATCCCACCTCATCCTAATCTTTTTCTTTTACACTGTCCTTGTTGTCATTTCCATCACTCATAGTGCATCAATGACAGTGCCCCTGGTCCCAGTTCTCCTCAATGTGCTACACAATGTCATTCCTCCTGCTCTTAACCCCATGGTGTATGCACTCAAAAACAAGGAGCTCAGGCAGGGTTTGTATAAAATTCTGAAGCTAAACACCAAGGGCGACTAACATAGTGAAGCTGTTCACTTTTGTAATATCCTCACATATTATCCAATATACTCCTTAATGATTGCAAATGGCAGAAGAACTAAGGAACATGGACATCGGGGCAGCTTTTCAAAGAGTGTAAGGAATCTGTGGCAAAAAAAAAAAAAAGGAAACTTCAGAAAAGTGATGAAATTACTGTTTGTAATCATCGTTGATAAGAAAGATCATCATCAAAAAGAAAATACAGTGATGCCTCTTGTCTCAAGGAATTAGAGGAAGGACAAATGGAAAACTCTTATCATTTCTACCTAATTTACATTTGCTGAACCTTCCAGACAATGGTGAACAGAGATTATTAGGGTGTATATCTGCCAGTCTCTTTTTTTTCTTTTAGGATTTATTTATGCATACAAGAACTGGGGTACAGGCCAGAGATGTGGGGAGTGAGAGGAGTCACCAGAGACAGAATAAGCAGATTGACTGAAATACACTGCTGAAGGGAGTAGCAGTAGAGTTAGGAGAGGTCTGCTGCGCCATGTGGGTTGCTCTCTGGCTGGCCGGGGATCGGACTCGTGCTGCGGTGGCTGCAGACAGCTTCATAGGTTGCGCCTCCAGGGAGGCCTGCCAGTCTCTTCTTTTTAATTAGAGAGTTAATCCATGTACATTGATGTAATTACTGAAAGTACAGGACTTGCTTCATTTGCCTTTTGCTTTCTAATGTGTCATGTCTTTTTAAAATAAAGACCTTGAGTAAGCATTTCTTTAAAGGAGAGTCCAATGGCAAGCAGGCACATGAAGAAATGCTAAACATCATTGCAGAAATTAAAATCAAAACCACAATAAAAGACCCTATTTTGCATGTAATGGACTCCTTGTAGGTTGCTGGTATATATTATACATTTAAAATATTACAGGAGTACTGCTTGGCTAGTACCAGAAATGTTTAAACTAGTTACCATGTGACCAGCAATTCAACTTCTACGTATATATTCCTCAAATAATTGAAAGAAGATATTACAAAAAAAGACTTGTACACAAATGTTCATAATAGTATTATCAGCCAAAAAAAGGGAACGAACCCAGATGATGTTTATTGTTCTCGATGTTTATTGTATCATATCCTTTAAAACAAAAGAACATGTATTTCTAAGACTAGGAAAAATACTAAAATGAGTTGCTGAATGAATAACTAATTGAGACATATCCATACAAGCAATTATCATTCATACATGAAAGGGATGAAGTACTGATATGTGCGTTATATGGCTGTACTTAAGAACGGTTCTGCTGAATGAAAAATATCAGACCCAAAAGATACATGTTGTATGATTGCATTTGTATGGAATGCTCAGAATAAGTAAATCCACTGTTTCAGAAAAGAAATTAGTTATTTCTTGGGGGTGTAGGGACAGGTCGATATTGATTGATTGATTATAGGTAATAGATTTTCTTTTTGAGAACATGGATATTTTCTGGAATTACAAAGTGCTAATGATTGAACATCATTGTGGGTATCCTAAAGGTCATTCAGGCATATTTTTTAGATGGTTTAAATGGACAATGTTATGGCATGTGAATTTCACATCAGCAAAAAATATTAGTGTGCTAAATGAGTGCAAAAAGTGTTCTCGATTTTTATTGTATCATATTCTTTAAAACAAAAGAACACATATTTCTAAGACTAGGAAAAATGCTAAAATATCTATAAATGTATATGAAGTAATTTTTTTTCATCATAATAGTACTGAATAGTCCTGTTTAAATGTGCTTGTTATATATCAATAGAAAATGGCAGAATTTGTTTCATATGTTATTATCCAAGAATTTTTTCTTTCAAAAACAGATACAGCAAATATTAAGAAATAGATCAGAAGTTACATTTCAATGTTAGAATTCAAGTGTTCCATTCTCATTATTTACTCTTCTAATTAATAAAATACACAGGCAGGACTCTACTATTAAAAAAAAAAGTCTGATTGACTTCCCTTTTTCCTTCTATTGAATTTATCAGTTGTTCAGATGTCTATATAACTTTGGGGTTGGTTCTTACTCCTTCATTGATGCACGTTTCACCCACTCTCCACCAAAGCCCCTGTGCCAATGCCTTGTTCTGTTCCTTCCCCCAACTCCTCTTCCCTGCCCCCGCCCCCAGCCCCTGTTCACTCTGGTAGCCAGTAATTTTTTACTAAATCTAAGGTTTGTTTATTCCAGTATGTTTTTTATTATTTATATTTCACAGATAAGTGAAACCACCTGATATCCGTCTTTCATTTTCTGACTTATTTCACTTAACATAATGACCTCAAGTTCCACCTATTTTGTCTCAAAGGACACTATTTCATTGTTTTTAATAGTTGGGTAGTATTCCATTAAATATATATTGCACAATTTCTTTATAAAATCGTTGTCAATGGGCACTTAGCTTGGTTCTGTTGTTTTTAGTGCCACTGTGAACATAGGGGGACATGAATCTTTTCAGATTAGATTTTTCTTATTCTTTGGATAACTACTAAGCAGAGATACCGTTGGGTCATATGGAAGTTTTGCATTTTTATTTTTGTAAGATGTCTGCACACCTTTTTCCATAGAACCAGTATGAACTTGCTTTCCAACCAACAGGGGAGGAGAGTTCTTTTTCTCCACATAGTCCCCAATATTTGTTTCCATTCTTTTTGATATGGGCCATTCTCACAGGGATAAAGTTATATTTCATGGTGGGTTTTCCAAATTTATTTTTTTTAATATTTATTTATTGATGTATACTAGAACTGGGGTACAGGCCAGGTGTGTGTTGGGGATGAGAGGATTTGCCAGAGACAGTGGGGAATAGAATTGACTGAAATACACTGCTGAGGGGAGCAGTGGGCAAGACAGGAGAGGTCTGCTGCGCCATGTGGGTAGCTCCCTGTCTGGCGGGGCATTGAACTTGTGCTGCAGAGGCTGCAGATTGCTTTATAATGCTGTGCTTAACCATTTTTACCACCAGGAAGGCCCCAGGTTTTCCAAATTTATTGAGATAAATTGACATGCAACATCATGAAAGCTTAAAGTTCATGATATGATGATTTGATGCATGTATATTTTGCAGAATGTCTATCACTAAGTTTAGTTATCACATGTTTTACCTCACATAATCAATTACCATTTAGTTGTTGTTTAATCTGATAGTAACTTTAAAGTACGCAATACAGTATTAACTGTAGTCACCATATTACATCCCCCGAACTTACTCATTTTATAACTGCAAGTTTGTATCCTATGTCCATTATCTCCCCATTTTCTCTACTCTTCAGCCCCTGGCAACTGCAATTCTATTTTTTTTTTTATATTAGTATGAAATCTTAGAGTTGTACAGGATATGTCTCTCTCCACTTAGCATTATGCCTTCAAGATCCATCTGTGTTGTTTCATGACAGAAATTTTTCCCCTTTTGTATAGGTGAATAATAATTATGATGTATATGTATTTGTTTATATATACACACATATATAGCTATGAATAAATATAGGTATAGATTAATAGATATCATGTGTGTAAATGAAAAAACAAATAGTAACACATAAAAAAGAAAGAATAGAAAGATAAAATAGCCAGAAAATAAAGCATATGGAAACAGCCTAAATGCCCATTGAGGATGTTTGAAAAGAGAAGCTACTGTATGCATGCACACTGGAATACTACTCAGATGTTAAAAAAAGATAAAATCTTGCCTTTTGCAAAACATGGAACTTGAGGTGATTTGCTAAGAAAAATAGTCAAAAATTTAAAAAAATTATGAAATGATTTTTTTCTCTTATGTAGAGTAACCAAAGTAAACGAACTGAAAAACACAATAAAAATAACTCTCGGACTTTATGAAAAAATACAGTGGTTATGATGAAGGGAGGGAAAGGTGGTAGATAAAAAGGGCAGAGGACATCAACTTGTGTGTGAATGGCACTAGGACTGTGATGGGGGTGAGGTAAGGCTTATCCACAAGTACAGGTCATGATGTACCCCTCCAAATTTACATAGCTTTGTAAATAATGGTAAATCAGTAGAATTTTATTTTTAAATGGATACATTTTACAAATCCATATGCTCTTGAAAGAATGTGTATTCTGATATTTTGGGCCTGGGACAAGCAGAAACCATTATCACCTCTGAGTCTCTTTTCCAACTTAATAATGATGACCTTCAGAGAAAACAGGCTTTTAAAAGTCATGCAAATTCCTCCTCACTGTTTTCACCTTCCAATACCCCTGCACAGACTTCAACAAAACCAAGGGATAATAACAATTGTGGTCACTATGTTCTCTGCTTTCTCCCCTTCACCTTGTGAGAATTTCAATCTATCAACTCTTCAGTTCCCTTTGATTTGATCAACATCTGCAATGAAGTTACAATAAGAAAGAATATTGTATTTTTACTGAAGTAGAGGGGAGAGGACTAGAGAAACAGTACATTAACAGAACAATGTTTCCAATGAACATACAAGCCAGCCTTCTTGCTTGACATATATTTTAATGAGTTTCTGGCACAGAAGTTTCTAAAATTGTTTATTCATGGCAGGAGGCCCATATATGTCATATAGGTAAAGCTGTGACAAAAGTTACGAAGCTAGAATTGAAACACTAGGAATTCAGCTATAATTCCAGGTTTATAATTCAGTGGATACTGGATACTATTTACATGTCCCATCAAAGAAAAGTTGTTAAAATTTAAGGGTAATTATTGAGGGGTTTTTCCCCTCTGGCTCAATTATATTCCAATATAGATCTAGTTTCAATGAAGTTGAATTGGCTTCCTTTCCCATCAGAGACCACTGCGATATCTATCAGTGAAATCCCAAATGAATGTCTTTTTGCTTAGAAAATCCCCAGAGAAACCATTGAGCGTTGTTATATATGCTTCCTGACCAATGTGGTATAACTTTTCTGAGCAATATCAGTCATGAATGGAGGTCTGAAAACACATGGCATCAAGGTGAGTATGAGTGATGTAGAAGAAAAAGGTACCAGAGGCACAGAAAATTTGCAAAT